CTCAATTTTTCTTTTTGGAGACAAAAATGAGTATATGTGTATGTTTGTGTGTGTGTTAGGACAGAAAGGAAACTAGATCTCTCCATTACAAAAATTTCAGCAGTTTTTATTTCTGCTTTCATAGTTCCTAATTTTTGTTTATTTTTATAATTTATCATTTTAAATGTTTTTACAATGAAGATTTCATTTGTAATCAGAAATAAACGTGATTAATCTTACTAAAATGTTATGTAAATTAAAAAGAAAACCATGTATACACCCTCATCTTCCTTCAACTTCCTACCATCCAAAAGCTCAGAAGTCTGAAGAAGACTCTTCAGGTCTCATGACAGATGGTATGGCATCTACACAAGTTTCAAAACACTGAAATCACTTCCATAGTCATGTCTGTTATCATTTTATGAGTCATAGTTGTCAGGGCAACTGAAGACTCATACTGGTTTTCTCCACTCATGTTACTAAGGTTGAGGAAAGATAATACAACTGTCATACAACAGTAGAAAAACAAGACCACACATTTCCTTTTCTCATATTCTCCACTGCACCTCACAGAGCTGACAGTTTGGGGGGGGGGATTATTTGGTGGTTGTCATTCCTTTTCAAATAGGTGCAATATCAAGAATGAAGTTTTCCAGACCTTACTCACAGTTAGGTATATATTACCAAACTATCCAAAAGGACTGTCATGAAAGCAAAACAAGAGAAATTTTTAGATGATCTAGAACACTAAGATTCTTAAAGTTGTGGTCCAAATAAAATTACTTGGTTTCATAAAGCCAGAAGAAGCTGTCTATTCCTATAGATTTCTGTAGAAGTCATAACTACTTGTCAGTCACATCACGGTGCCAGAAAAAAACATGCTATAAAATCCTTTAACAACCCGGCTAAGGAAGTAACTTTTCACTAACTCATTTGAATCTGAAACTCTGCCACCCTCCTTCAGTTCAAGGAATATTTTCTGGTCATGTGGTGTGGCAGCTCAATGACCGTTCTTTGACCATTTGTGCTGGTGTTTGTCCCCAGGACACAAGTCACATGGGTCACGACCTGGCTGACATCCAGAAGGATCACAAGGAGCATACAACTGCTTTGGCACCCCTGCAAGAGCTGCTTAGCAAGGAGCTCGTGATTGCTGACCATCTGGATGAAAATTCTGGCAATGATTTGTTTTCTATTAGAGTTCATATGATGTCTGTCAGTAGGAAGCATTTTGAGGGATTGTAACCACCATGGTAGTCCATGTCAGGTACACAGTTAATGTTCTCATTGTTCTCACTTGTTCATTACTTTTGGAGAAGATAATTCTAGGCTATCACTTTTCATGGTCAAATGTTTACTTATTGGAAATTGAAATTCAACATACTCAGTTTTTGATAATTTAAATGTTAGAGGAATAGGTGAGTTAAAACGACTGCATGGGATTAATACATTTTAATGCCTCTGCATATTTTTACTACAAGAAATCTACAAGAAATGTTAGTCCTGATTTTGTTAGTATGATTCCAAATGTGAATGAGTTCCGTTCAAGGACATAACTATTTCAGAATGTATTTATTAATTTTATTTTGTAGACATATGTGCAATTTAATTAGGTAGTATTTTGACTAACACTTCACAACAAAGACGAATAAACAGAGGCTTCGAGACATAAACACCATAATGGCAGAATGAGGCTCAGCATCTCATTTTTGAACCCTGTTCCATGTATTTCTTTTAAGGATGATCATACTTACTCATACTTTAGGAAGTGTTTAATATGTTTCTTGGGAATTTGGGGACACAACAACAAAAAAAAGAACATATCAATCATATATGATTAAGATTTTAAGTAGTTCCAAGTTGAACTGGTTATATTCTTAAATTTCAGAGGCTTAATCTGTTGGTCCCTTTAGCTATGATCACTGATGCCCTGTGCTCTTATTCTATCATTATTTCTGCCTCAGACCTGAGGGTTCTCCTATTCCAAGGATTCCGGACCTGAGTTTCTCTTTTTCTTATCTCCCACAATAGAAGTGAGATGGTGGTACAGGAAATCGTCCATTTTGGTCTTTTACTCATATGGAATCCTTCACAGGGTTGAGGGGGCAAGGTCAGGCTCTGCAAGAGGTATAGTATAAAGAAAGGTCTTTGGGTAGAGTGGGGGCAGGATATGGAGAATAGATATGACCTGCTGTCCATAATTCTGAAATGTCATTTTAAATCAACTCTGGAATAACTAGTGACTCTGGTCTAATTTCTCTCAAAGAAATCTGAACAAGGTCATGTGGCAGAGAACAATGGAAGCACAAAGTGACATGAAGGTAGAGAGAATGCTGGATAGGAATGACCTCTCCATGATTAGCAAGGGGAAAAAAAAATCTCAAGAGACATTTTTTTTCTGTAGAAGTTATTGAAACTTTCCCTTTTAAGAAAAGATTATTTTCCTTCCAAGATGTTGGTTGGCCTGTGATACACCCATCCCCACCCGCTGCTATCTATCTCTCTTGGGTCTTAGATGGTCAGGTCTATTTTCTTCTTCAGACCAAGCCGTGAAGATGCTCATGTGTCTCTGTCGGGATGTTGATCTTAAAATAATCAGACTATCCTATCTGATGAGCTCTTCTAGATTACGGTTACTGAGCAGGTTACTGAGCAGGAAAAGGAAACCATGTGGGTAAATAAATGGTTCAGGTGTCACAAAATGTACTAGAGACACAAAAATGAATAACAGCAAATTTTATTGCACTTAAGTGAAAAAACTACCCATATAGCCAGGATTTTAATCTTCTAGGCATTGAGGCAAATGATTTCCATGCATTATTTCATTTGATTCTCAAAACAGTCTTAGGAGATGGGCATTATTTTTATGGCTTTGTTTTTGCGTGTTTAAGATTTGTTTTCATTTGGTTTTGAATGAATAAATAAAGACTAACGGATTTATTTTTTAATGTTCATAGATATGTGGCTTATGGCAAATCTCAAATCTAGACCTTTTTGATTCCATAATTCCTGATTTTAACAATTCAACAATATATGGTGATATGTGTGACAGTAAAAATATGCATAAAGTACTAGCCAGGTTTCAGCAAATGACAAAACTACCCAACCTCTTCTATGTTTGAACAAGAGGATACATGGGGGAAAATTGAGGAAGAAGAGAAGGAAGGAGCAGACGGTGACATCAAAACCAAGCTTCAGTGGATGAGCAGAAGAAAGTGATGACCTTCTATTGTAAATAGGGTCAAGGGCTTTCCTCAAGTTCTGAATGGGCATAATGTTGTCACCACTTGGGTAGTGGTCAGTTATTGATGGGATTTTATTTAAGGACACATGCTGATAACATGATGAATGATGAGCTGTAGAGAGCAAAATTACTGGAAAATGGAGGCATTTGTTTCCATAGTACATTCCAAGCAGAGTGTTCAAGTAACCTCCCATGGGCAATGGTAAACGCACCACCAGTAGGTCTTACACAGGTTAGTGATATTTATGTGGTGAGATGACCTACGTGACAGCATGGAGCTCACATAACCATTCTTCCCATTAGAAATTAATGTAAATCCATGCTCCTTACTACAGGTTTCTATGAGGTGTATTACAGAGAGGAGAGTAGCAAAGTGAAGACCTGGGGTCTTCAAGCTGTGGACTTTGTCTTACACTGTGAATTTGGACAATCATAAACCTCTGGGAGACCTAGTACTCCACCTGCTGGTTTTCATGGATCTAGTCCATTTTCAGGGTCCTTAAGAGATAGTATTTATATATCACTTTCCTTCTCCTTGTCTCCTGAAAAAAAGACAATATTGTCTGCAATCTACTAGGTTATTCTGTGTCTTCTTATCCCATTTCTGGATTGCTTTGATTCTCTACATTTTTACTATCTTCTGTTACCATCCAGGTAACTATTTTATTATTCATTTGCACCTCTACTAGACAGAAAAGATATGGTAGTCAAACCAGTCAACATTTTATTTGCTTGCAACTCTTGTAAAAAGTTTACTAAGGGGAAAGTATAAAAAGTAATGAATATAATAAGATCTAGGGATGTTCATTTTCTCTACACTGTTTCTTTTCACTAGCCCTGTATGATCAAGAGTGCACTTTAATTTTTTTTTTACCTGAAACATTTTTATTATGATGTTTCCCTCCCTCCCCTATCTCATTTTCTATAAAATGAAGCTGAAGTAAATTAAGTATTAAGTCGATTCCAAAACATACTGCATCAAGTTGGTGGCAGGGCTCCAGTGAGAATCTGAATATCTTGGTCTGTGGTCCCAAATTCCTTCTACACTATGTCTTCTAAATAGTCTCATGGATTAAACATATAAATCTAGGAGGTGACTGCAGTTTCAGTATACTTGTATAGTTCTTCATCCAAACAGAACATCCGTGACAGTGAAAAAGGGTACAGCTAATAACTACACAACAATAGGTCTAAACTAGATTTACCCCCAGGCAATCCAGAGGGCATAGGTAATATCTAAAGCCAACGTGTGGCCCAAAAATACTATTAGAGGGTCTCCAGAGGAACAGCACCAGCCTAGGTCAACTCAGAGATATCCTCCATCACTTAAAATAGGGGAAAAAATGGCAATACAAAAATAAATAAATAAAAGCAAAACAAACAAACCACGAAGACAGCCCATAGACCATTGATAATATACAGTCTTGAAGGTGAGAGGAGTTGGGCTCTGATTCCTTTAAACCTCACCCAAACTCCCATTGATTTATCTGCCAATTGAGTGATTCGTTCGTTCCTACAGAAATGAGCACCTGCTAAGTCCTAGGCACAATGCTAAAAGTAGAGCAGTGAATCATTCACAGTCTCTGTCCTGGAGTCATTCACGATCTAATGAGGAAGACAGATTAATAAGCAAATATTTGCTGCACTGAGGAATAAATGCCACCTAAGTAATAAACTAGGGCTTCTGGAACACAATGAAAGAGGGGGGGAAAAAAGAACCCTCTCGTTCCCTGGGAAATAGGCCAAGACTGCAATAATGAATCCTCTCAGTAGAAGTGGGGAGAGCAAAGCAAAAACACAGATGGATTAAATAACTTCCTCACTACTGAGGCATAGTTGTGCAAGTGACTTTTGTATCCATTAGGTTCTGACAAGAAAGCTTGAAAGGCTGGGGAGTTTGGGCTTTATCCTTTGGATAATGAGGAACAATCTGTGCTTTGGTTTTTGCTTTAAGGCAGGTAAGTGATGCAGACAGACTTGTGTTTAATGATGTAATTCTGGTGGTAGTCCTAAGGGAAATTGAGAAAAGGCACAATGTCCATAATGTCTGTGTCCATAATGTCCATAGCTCTAATGTCCATGGCTACTTGGCTCCTTGGAAGCCAAACTATAATCATGAGGCATAAATTTGAATGTCTTATCCACGTACAGGTTAGGTATGTGCTTTTGTGACAGAGATTTTTGCTCAGCCCCTTTTCTCTCACTTTTGCTCCACCCTTTTTCATGCTAATGTTCATCTTAAAATTTATTATTATTATTATTCTGATCATCATTATTATCCATGATATATTGCCTTTATTTATGTTGAATCAGCAGTTCCCTTTGTCCTTCTTCTTCCTTAGGAACTCTCCTTGAGGTTTTGCTTTCTTTTTATTAGCAAAATGAAGCCAAATCAAACAAATATTTTTATATTCACTTCACCTCTTAATTTTTCTTTTTCTTGGTTCCCATTTTATTTTTCCTGTTGTCTTTGATGAGAAAGAGACAGCAGCCAGCTTTACCATCAAATTTGCTGAGTCATTTGTAATTTTCTCTGAATGCTGAGGGCTTCAAATGTCCTTAGAGATGAAGTCCAAGTCTGGCTGATTTTTTAAATATAATTGAGTCAAATTACATATTCTAATTGTACATCCTAGTTTTTAATGAAGCTGAAATGAGAAGGGGTCAGAGGGGTGCATGTAGTTACAAAATCTTTCATGAGGTAATAGAGAAATAGTGATTCATATCTTTCAATACAGTATTTTCAAGGGGAAAAAGTTGCTTTAAAAAGAAACCAGAAGAAAGATAAAAACTGAGAGAAACGCAGGAAAATACGAAGCTCAGAAGTCATGTTCTAATTTTAAAAGATTTAACAAAGAGGGTTTTTCAGATAAATTATAGAATCTTTATCTGCTTTGCAGAAGTCAAATATATGAATGTGTCGTGATTTAGCAATATGATTTTGCATTTATGTTAATATACTGTTTTACCTAGTGGCCTTCCTCATGCCTTGTTTGAGTTCAGATTTCTCAGGTTATGGCAGATTTAAAAAAATACCTACAATATTTTTCAACTCTTAGCAGTCTAGTGTGTCTCCACTAGAATTTTGGCTTGGACACGTGAGTGACTTGCTTTGACCAAAAGGATGTTAGCAAACAACATATGAGCCAATGGTTGAAATGCGCTTTCTATTCCTTGTGAATTCCATTCCTACCTTGTGCAGAAGCCTGAAATTGCCTTCTAGGTTCTGAATAAAGGTGGCTGACCTTCACTTATTGCTCCAACCAACCCCTGGAAATGTGAGTGAGACCATCCAGGACCAAGAAGCCCCAAGAGAACCTAATAGCTCATTGTACTTGTGTGAGTAAATCCAGCTTATTTGATGGAAGAGAAGGCAAAACATGCCCACGTGAGTTCGGCTCACCCCAGTGGCATCTTAGGCTAACAATCAATTGTTATTATTTTGGCCAATAAATCTGAGGGTAGATTATAAGCTTAAAAACTAACCTAATGGGTTAATATATCTCCAAATATGATAGGCTGGATATTAAGATGGTCCCTATGACTTACCCCCTTGTGAAGGCAGTGGTAGTCACTCTTGTGATCAGGCAAAGATGAAGGTATTTTTCAGGTTTAATTGTGAATTTTAGCCAGCTGATTTTGAGTTACTCAAAGGGAATATTATTCGCACCCTACCTGTCTGAATGAGGTCTGTTCTTTAAAAATGTAAGGAGCACATGACAAGAAGCCTGTTCCTTTTGGCCCTGTCAAGGTGATCTGTCATGTTTTGGAAGTGGTCACATGGTAGGAAATGGTTGGCAACTTCTGAGAGAGATAAGAGCAGCTTCCAGGCAAAAGCTAACATGAAATCGAGGACCTCAGTTCTTCAGCTGAAAGCTTTCAACAAATAGGTAGTTTGGAAGAGGACCCAGAGCCTCAGATCAGGTCACAGCCCTACTGGGCCCCTGAACTTTAACCCTTTCCATCCCTGAGACTCCAAGCAGAACATCCTGCTAATCTCTACCCGGACCCCTGACTCATGGAAACTGTGAAATAATCACTTGCATTGTTTTAGCGCTAAATTTGTGGTAATTTTTTATTCAGCAAGGGAAAGCAAATTGACCACCCTAGGCTTCCAATTCTCCCACGAAACCAGAACTGTGACTTATAGAGATTATCAGTTTATAGGTTTCTTCACCAGGTTATAAATCTTGGTAGAAAGAAGAAGTGAGATTCTTTGGTTTGAAGAGAGCTATTTTCTCTTCCTCTAGGCTCATAGAAAATGTAGCCCCCATCAATGTCACGTGAATATAAAGCAAAGAGGAAGATTTTATCTGTAAGTGATGGTGTCTTTGAAAACGGATGTTCAGTTGGAGTCAGAGGATTGGATTATATGACCTCTTGAGGGAATTTCTTGCTCCCATAATGTTGTGGCTCAGAATAATGTCATCTTTTCTGGGTCCTAAAAGTGCTGAAAGGCACTCAAAATTATAAGTCAAAGTGCGTGACTGATGGGATCGTTAATGTTGAAAAGGAAATGACTTGTTCTCTATTATAACACAAACAAAAGGAGCATAACTTCCACCAAGGAAAACAAAGACTACAGGAAAACTGTCTACTGATAAATAAATGGCATAATGAAGCCAGTAAAAGTCCCAGCTGGTTACAAACACAGAGACAGACTAGCCAGATCTCCATGTGGCAGAATGGATGCAGAGCTTTCTGTGACAGAACAATGACAAGAGATTTCAGTGAATATGCATTGATTTAGCAGGGCCTCGGACAAATCCATCTGTACTGAGTGGCATATACAAGTTCCCTGTCATTAAGTACAAATCAAAGCATTTAAAATGCATGCAAGAAAAATTTTTCAATCCTGCTAGGCTTAGCACCATGCCGAGAGCACCATAGGGCATCAAATTTTTATAGCGTTATTCCTGTACCACTTTTCTGGATGTATCTCACTTTCCACTCTGTAATTTGCACTGATTCTCCCAACTTCTGACCTTTTCATGTGTTCACCCTGGCACTTTTTTGTTATAGCCTTTGCTTCCTTTCTTGAATATGATTGACATTTTTCCCAGGGTATGCTCTCTTTTACCCCATGTTACATAATGCTGAGATCTTCATATTTAGGCAGTCACTTTCTCGGTGAGGAATGTTTCCATGGACTCATCCCAGTTCCTGAAACATGACCAAAACAAAACTTTCTCATTATTGTACTCTGCAAAACACCATTCTTATTCTCAAATAATCATTTTAATGCTTTGAAAATTATATGGGTTGTCCTTATGAAGAATAAGGACTTTGTGGAAGTGATGTTGGAGCCTTCAAAAAAGAGGGTAATATTTGTGGTAACTTGAGACTGGAATTATGATAACACTTTGACATAGCCAAGCACATTCATAATGATAAATTTGGCTGCACTGAAATAAGACCCCAAATAACTTAAACATGCATGATACATTTGGGTTTCTCTGCACTAAAAGTCCAGAATGGCATGGCATCTCTGCTTTAAAGGTCATCAGATGCCTGAATCCTTCTCTCTGCAGTTTCAAAAAATGAGGTCATCCTCATACACACACTCCAAAAGGGACTTCATCTACTCTGTGTTTCAGCTATTCTGCAAGGTGGCAGGATGGGGCATGGTCAGGGGTTGCATTCATCATTTGCATTCCCACTGCACTATTCAAAGCTTAGTTATTTGGGTTCGTTCATGTAGCTGAAAGGATTGCAATGGCCTGAGTGTGTCCCCTCCACAATTCAAGTATTGAAGTTTCTTGTTCAATGTGATGGTCTTATGAAGTGAGCTCTTTTAGAAGTGAGTAGGTCATGAGGGCTCCTCCCCTTTCAAATGCAATTAAGGTCTTTATGAGGGAAGCTTGGCATAGTGTTATGTTTTCTTGCCCTTACACCTTCTGGCCTGTGAGAACACAGTGTTCCTCACCTCTTTAGGATAAAACCCTCACCTGACTGCTGAACCTGCCGGTACCTTGACCTTGGATTTCACAGCCTGGGAAAAATAAGTTTCTGCTCTTTATAGACTACCAGTGTGATATTTTGTCATAGAAGAACAAATGAACTAAGACAGAGTGACTTCTACTTTAGAAGTAAAAAAAACATGCTGGAAAGGGTCTAGTTGTTTAGAAAATGATCATGGGATCAACTCTAAATATTTTGATTGAAATGATAATGGAAAGAGTCATTCATTCAACAAGTGTTAATGAAGTACCTCGTCTGCTCTTGGCATAATTCTAGGATCTTGGACTTCACCAGTGAAGAAACCAAAGATTGTTATCATCTTATATTATTAAGACTTAATATTTATAAGTATAAGGTAACAATATAATAGGTAACAGGAAATGGAAGATTGAAATCCATGTGAGAATTAAGAAACAGAATTGAGTTCTCATCAGTACAATTCACTAGACTAGGAAATTTGCTTACATAATCTCTTTTAATACTTCCAACAACCATGCCAGGAAGGTATTATTATTTCCAAAGCCTCATACACACATTAAGTTATAAAAATTGAACTTGAACCCATGAATAAATTTCTGATTATGGTGTAGTACTTCCTTGAGACCATGAATAAATAGTGTGATAAAAGTTTAAAAGCAAGAAATTTTAAGGCAAAAAGATCCAGTCTTACAATTTTCTCTGCTGATTACTGACAGTTTGACTCTGGTGGCCTCTCAGTTGATGTTCCCTATTATCTGGGATGTCCTATGGCTGAATAGCATTGTTCAGGGAAGGTTACACTGGTCTCTCCCATCCATTTGTATTTCCATTTGGTGTAAATGTATGTGATCATATTCACACAACAGTAGCCATCTTTAGATGTAATCCTGACTCAGAGATCATGAAAAAAAATTGCTTTTGCAGATTTACACTAAAATGTGAGGCGTACCCCCTCTTTCTAATCTCAGTTTTTATGATATTGTTCCATATTTTCTATATCAATGAGTCCCAAACTCTT